TCCCAGGACTCGGCCGATCGATGCAATAGGGTCGTGGGACGAGGCTTTGGCGATCTCGACAATCTTCTGGCCTGGGAAAAGCTGGAGCTGCCAGATCTCCTGTTCAACGGACTTGTCACCCTCGCTGATGAACTTGAGTCCACGAATGATCTCTCCCTCGCCACGAACGACAACGGTCTGTTCAGGAGTCCAGCCCGCGGGGATATTGCCGGCTTTGCCGTTGACTCCCAGAGGAAGGAGCCACTTTCCAGAGGCGCTGTCAACCAAGACAGTGCTTGAAACTGGGGCCAATGAGCCAGGAGGCATAACCTCGACAACCTCTCCGGTCTCGCTCTTGATGGCGACGTACTCGCCCTTGGCACCACGAATAGTGACGACACCCTCATCCTTGGCATAGATTCCCTTCACGTCAAGAGTTTCGCCGGCAGCCTGGGGAAGAACAGTCTTGGACCAAATCACTTGGCCATTGTTTCCAGTGCTAAGTCCGTAAATGCGGCCACGTCGGGTCACCAGGACAATAATTTTGTTGAACCCAAAGGTGTCGCGCTGCAAGCCCTCCTTCTTACTCGTAGCCTCGCCGCCGAACAGGCTGCTCATAAAACTCTCGGGAATGGACGCAAGGTAATCAGGCAAATACTGAAGGTCGTTGAGGTGGCGCTTGACGCGGTGGATGTAGGCTTCCAGGGGGTTGGTGTGCGACTCCTGCTCCAGGACCTTGGCGAGGTTCTCGCTGGTAGGAATGTCTGCCCAGACGGCGGCAACCGCGGCAGTCAGTCCTTCAGGGCGCTGCCAATCCACCTCGCCGTTGCGGACCAGGATCCAGTCTTCGGCCTTGGTCACAACAGCAGCCCTGACGGCAAAACCTTCGCCGGAGGGCTTTTTGATGGTTTCTGCGACAGCGTGGATCGGCTCAACGTCGCCAGTTGGCTTGAAGGGCCAGCGAGCGAGAACTGCATACGACTCGGAAGAAACGATGATGATCTCGTCGGCAGTGATTCGAGTGAAGTAGACATTGGCACCATCGGAGCTAGTCGAGATGGCACCCAGACCGGTAAGATGAGGCAGCTCATAGGCCTGGGAGATCTGGCTGTTCTTCAAGTTGGTGTGATAAACCTCGGCCTTGTTGCCATGCTTAGTCCGCGTGTGGACCAGGAAATGAGGTTGCGATTGAGTGAGGTGGGGTGCATGGATATCGACGGAGATAGCCTCAGCCGGCAACTTGATCTCTTGTGTAGACTTGGTGCCCAGCACGTTGACCTTGAGCTTGGTCAGGGTGCTGTCGGTCCACGCCAGGATGGGTGCCGCCGAGTTGCCACCAACAAACATAACGTCCTTGGGACCATGAACATCGCCCTTGGTGCCAATCGATAGGTCGTCGAGGCGAGTTCCCGCAGCAATGTCGAGAGCTGTAACCTTAAGGCTGTACGAGGTGGGCGAACCATGAAGGCTGATAACGTAGACCTTGGCGATGTCGGTCGAGACCTGCAGAGGAGTATTCTTTGTGGTCTCGCGGAACTCCCACATGACGTGGCCCAGTGTACCATGTAGGCGTCGCAGAACGGTCGATCCATCTTCCTCTGTCAAGACGAGGACGTCCTTGGTCGACTTCTCCGTCAGCTCCAAAATCTCCAGATCCTTCACCTCGCCCTGAAGCTGGGCCTGCCAGAGGCTCCGGCCCGTCAGCGCATCCCACGCCTGCACTCGCGACCCGTATGCAGAAACAACCCAGTGCTGGCCCTCTGCAGCGCGCAAGAAGCCGCCGCCATTGGTGAGGTCATCGGCGACCTGCTGGCGCCAGACGACTGCGCCATTGCTGGGATTCACGGCGCCGAGGACGCCGACATCACTGAGGGTATAGAGGAGGCTGGCCTTGTCGGCCTTTCGCGGTCGATGGAAGAATGTGGTCTCGACTTGGGGGACGCCGACGAGCGCGTGGTGGAAATCGATGGTACCGACTTCATCTTGGAATACGGCGACTCCTACTGACGAGAATGCCAGTAGGAGCAGCGGTTGTAGTGAGAACCGCATTGTCGAGTGGAGTGCGTTGCTGCGGCTTCACGCTTGACGGAGCTTGAGAGAGCTTCAAGCTGATGCATCATTATGGCGACCTGTTACGATGCGCATTGATTAGTCATCCCTGCGCTCCAGGGTAGATCCACCGGGCAGCGGGCAGCAACGGCTCGAATCTAGCGTAAAGTACCAATTTAAGGTGGAGGTTAGGATGCGAAAAATAGTAGTTGCGAATTCTCTATGTCTTGTGGTTTTGTCTTTGTCTACTGTTCGTTGCGTAACTAAAGTTTCATGCCGAATAATCCTCGCTGTTCCGGGATGTATTTGGGAGTGGTCTGTCTATTGCGACATCGGTGAGATAACTTACACGATGTTCGGTCATCCCCGAGGAAAACAGAAGGACCGAATCAACGAACGACTTAGACACAGACATGAGCAACAACCTGAAGTGTTTTGAGAGCTGCTAACGCCTGTAGAGTACTACTCTACACATGATATGTCTTTCAGCGTAAAGCGCAAAAAGTCCGGCTATACTTGCCTTGTGTTTCCTGACACCTTGTGGCAACATGTTGACTTGACGCGATCAATAGCCGCGCGGCCCTCTTTTCAAGAACGGGGTTGCTCGTATCACAACTCGACGCTAGTAACAAGTTCCCCGAGGCCTCATATAACATGGACCCAGATAGCACCAAAGTAGGCAAGGGGCGACACTGAGAACGGAGCGCGGTGCCGGTTCCAGATTCCATAAGGTTTAGACTGCTCCATCCGGTGACCCTATCCTGATAACGCAATCCGCCTGAAAGAGTAGGTGCTACGCATTTTTTACCCCAGGCTGGGTACATATGGGCGACCGGTTCGGCGAATTACTCTGGATGGGTTTGGCATAAGAGGAGCATGAGCCGTGGTTTGAGTTTTGAGGACGAGGAGTCACCTCTGTTAGCCTTTGCCGACTACGACTCCAACTGTCACCACCGAAGAGCACCGGACATGGGACCCTTCAACCCCACAGTCGACCAGCACTCGGTGTCGTCCGACCGGGACCGGGATGCCGACGGCGATCTCGTGACGGCCGCCGAGCAGCGCGACCTCAAGCGCGGGCTTGAAGAGCGCCATCTGTCCATGCTTGGCATCGCCGGAGCCATCGGTACGGGCCTGTTTCTCGGCCTTGGCAGCGCCATCCAGACCGGCGGCCCTCTCGGCGCTCTGCTTGGCTACGGCACCGTTGGCTTGGTTGTCTGCGCCGTTCAGTTTGCGCTCGGTGAGGTCGCTGCGCTGCTGCCCGTCACTGGTGCCTTTGTGCGCCATGCCGAGTTCCTCGTCGACCCAGCCTGGGGCTTTGCTATCGGCTGGAACCTGGTTTATGGCAACATCCTGTCAATCCCGTCCGAAATCACAGCTATTTGCGTCTTGTTCGAGTTCTGGACCGACGTCAACCCCTCCGTCTTCATCGTCTCATTCATCATCCTGACCGTCATCGTCGGAATCGCCTTTATCCGCGTCTTTGGCGAGGTCGAGTTCTTCTTCGCCTCACTCAAGATCCTTCTCGTTGTCTTCCTCATCATTCTTGGCTTGGTGATCAACTTGGGCGGAATTCCTGGCGTTCCTCGGACCGGCTTCAAGTACTGGAAGAATCCTGGACCTTTCGTCGAGTACATTGCGACCGGGAAATGGGGTAACTTCCTTGGCTATTGGAGTGTAATGACAGGCGCCGTCTTCTCCTTCGCTGGCGTCGAGTCCATCGCCATGGCAGCCGCCGAGACGAAGAATCCTCGCAAAGCGATCCCGAGGGCTTGTAAAAACGTCTTCATCCGAATCATCATCTTTTACATGCTCGCCATTTTGGTCGTGGGCATGTTGGTCGCTAGTAACGACACTCGCCTGGACGACGCCTATGGAACAGCTGCGCAGAGCCCCTTTGTGATCGCTGCTTCTGCCGCTGGAATCAAAGCCATCCCGTCTGTTGTCAACGCAGTCGTTATCACATCTGCTTGGTCGGCATCGAACCAGAGCTTGATGGCCGGAACCCGCGTTTTGTACGGTCTCGCCCTCAAGGGTCAGGCTCCGCGCATTTTCTTGAAGACGACGTCATGGGGTACCCCTTGGGTTTGTGTGCTCTTCTTCACCGCATTCATGTTCCTCAGCTTCATGAGTCTTTCGGCCGGCGCCATGACCGTGTTTTGGTGGTTTGTGGACCTGACTGCCGCGGGTGTCTTGGTTTCGTGGTCGAGCATCTTGTTGAATCACATTCGGTTACGAAAGGCCATGAAGGTGCAAGGCATTCCTGTTTCACAGCTTCCGTGGCATAACTCCTGGACAAGTAAGTGCATGGATACATGATGGCTGAATTTGAAAGCTAACCAGGACATTACTTAGTCTACTCCTCATACGCCGCGTTGGTCATGAGCCTCACCATCCTTTTCACAGGTGGCTTTTCCGTCTTCACGAAGGGTAACTGGAGCGCTGTCGGCTTTGTCTCGTCGTACCTGTATGTTTTGACTTTGATTCGTCGGCTTTTATGTTCAATGCTAATTCTTTCGCAGTGACATTCCCATCGTGATAACGGCGTATCTCGCGTGGAAGTTTGTGAAGAAGACGAAGATTGTTTCGCTATCGGAAATTCCCCTTAGCGACGCTTTTGAGAAATCAAATCAGTTCGACCCATCATCTGACACTCCAATGCCAGTTTGAAGCTTGAATCTGACCTGCATGCCGATTTCACTTAGTTTATTAGTCTAGGAAACTTGGAAATGCAAAAGATCCTGGCGATACTGAAAATTCTGCGGAGCTGTATATACAATTAGACTAGCGATCTTCACACAACTAAACCCTCTGCTTATGGGCAAGTTTACATGTGCAGCAATTGAGTTATCGTAAGGTTGATGAGTCTCGTACAGGTGAGTTTCCCGACGGCTTGCTTCGGAGTATTGTGGGGGCCATATAATGCATAGTAGTTTCCCCGCTTTCACAATCGGATCACTATCCGCCAATCAGTCAGAGTGGCCGAGTGGTTAAGGCGTCAGACTTGAAGCGCTCCTTGATACCAGGTTTCGATCTGGAGTAATTGAGCCTAGATATCTGATTCCCTAGGGATCGCAGGTTCGAATCCTGTCTCTGACGAATAATTCCTAGACCCCTTCACTCAGGGTTTTTTTTTGCGCTTTTTGTCGATCATTCATTCTCATGATAAATAATCTATGCTATTATTATTCCCCTTTTTTTTTTCCTTTCCTTTTTCTTTGGATATCTCTGAACTTGATGGATGTTGCGTTGTGAGGCACCGTGATCTGCTTGACTCATGCGTTTAAAAATGTGAATACTTGACTGACCTGGACGATTATAAATTGACGAAAATGAACTAGGTCATTTACTTCACCCACCCGAGACATGTCTCGAGTTGGATGCCAAAGCGTGACAACCATCGGCTGTTTTTCGTCTCTCCAACGAAAGCACCAAAATCGTGTTTGTTTGGCTCCATGCAGGGTGTCATGGGATCACCCCTCGCGGTAATATGTCCCGTGCCAAACACTGACAACCTCAGTCATCAACATTACCATCGAGACTTGATATCTAGGTAGACATGTGCAAATGATAGCGTTCATCACCTCGTAATGCTAAGGCATCGTCGTTTTAATAGATCCTTGAGAAGTGGGTGATTGGACGAGTTTGGCTTACAGAAATCTACATGACGCATGCTTCTGTTACATCTCGATACCGCTTATCAAGAGGCAGACGCTTGCGAGACGACCAGGAGCACCTGCCAGAAGCCTACACCGGGCCTTGAGCAACCGGGTTTGACAACCTGACTTTCGTACCTCTCTTGCCCGCGATACACGTTGATACATTTGCCATGGAGGTACAACCACGCTGACTAGATTGCATCTCTGCAACGACGACTAACAAAACACCAACAGCAGATACTTCCCAGATCCCTCATCCACTCCTGGTCCGCCACGCCCATCCCGGACCTCAAGCTCTCGGCCAGCGGTCTCCTCGCGCTCGCCGACCTCCGCACCGTCGCCCACCGCACCGCCCTCACCGGCGGTTCCTCCTGGCTGGACGCCCTGGTGTTGGCTCCCGGGTTGCACTACCAGCAGGCCTGCGACTGGCTCGACCGCGAGGCTCCCGTGGGCTTGATGGCGCTCGGGGGAGCGGACGCGCGTTACGACATCAAGAATGTCCTCACGCTCAACTATCTCATGGGTCTGTGTCGCCAGGATCCCAAGGGGCTTGTTACTATCGACGTGGGGTCTGAGGCGGCGTGGCAGGTGGGAAAGCGTGTTCGCCGTGTGCTCAGGAAGAGACGAAAGATTGCCGACGAGGAAGATGACAAGTATCTCGACATTTCTCCCCCAAACCTTGACTGGGTAAGCCACCTGCTGTACCTCACCAGCCCGGTCCTGACCGTCGCCTCGATTACCTTCACGGTGCTCTTCGAAGACTGGTGGGGCGTGTCCATCATCCTCGCCCTCATCGTCTCGCGCGTCCTCAACATCTGGGCCATCAAGCACCGCACCGAGCCGCACGCCCTCAACCCGACGCCGATGACGGCACCCGACCGCGGCATCACCGAGTACCGCATCGACCTCGGCGGCGGCCACGTCGTCCGCCTGCGCGGCCTGGACGCCGACCTGCAGGCCCTCACCACGCAGGCCTGGCTGCGCGCGCAGTCGCATCTCGACGGGTACCTCGAGGCGGCCGCCAAGCTCATCGTGTACCTGGTGGCTGCGCTGAGTGGCAACATGACCCAGGCGGGCGCCATCATCCTTGTGGGGTTGCTGGTGTCGAGTGCTGCGCTTCTGGGGCTTAGCAATGCCCACGCCAGCGGGTTTCGAGTACATGGACGGTATGCGGTGCCTGAGCAACGAGTCATCCCTGGAGATGAAACCGTCGGGACGAGTACTGCAGTGCAGAATGTGGGTGGTCGAGTTCGGAATCGACCTGTGACGACACCATTGTCTCGAGAGCCGGGCAATCAATAGAGATGAGACTTTCACTCACGATAGAGGAACACGTTCTTTCAGGTTTGACCCAGCTGCAACGGCCGTCCATTCACTTAACTCTACCCGGATTCTCTCCCGTAGCAAGATTCTGTTGTACACAAACGCCAACCCAGCTCATTATCCGTGTTGCAGACAGCCCAGAGCAAGAAAATAAAATCTGCGAATCCATCAACCCAACACTTAACCCCAACAATCCTGACCATCTGTCTATCCAAATCAGTTCTCTTAAAAACACACTTAACCCATCATATATACTCCTCTCCAATTTCACAGTACAGCGGCATCCTGCTTCTCTGCAGGGGGGCCCGGGGTGACCTCCAGGCCCTCTGGGGCGGACTCCTCAGGAACCAACACCTCAAGAACGGGTGCTTCTGGGGCGGTCTCTTCGCCTTCTCCTTTTTCAGAGGTTTCTGGTTCTAGCGCGAGCGCCTCTGACTGCTCGACGGAGGCAGGTGCGGCTTCAAGGACCGGCTCAGAAACAGGTTCAACAGCGGAATCTGTGACAAGCTCGACGATAGAATCAGCGGTAGTCTCAACCACAGGTTCAATTATAACGCCAGCAGGTTCTGTCGAAAGCTGAGAAAGCTCAGCAACAGGCTCAGCCACAGGCTCGATGGCGGCTTCAACGATAGGTTCGACGACAAGTTCGACGACGGTCTCGACGATACGCTCGACGACAGGCTCTGCAACAGGCTCCGCGACAGGCTCTGCGGTAGCCTCAGGAGCGGTCTCGGGAGCGGTCTCGGGAGCGGCCTCAGGAATAGCTTCTGGGGCAAGCTCAAGGACAGGCTCAGGGTAAAACTTAGTAGGTGGCTCAGAAGCAGCCTCAGCGGCGGCCTCAAAGTCAGGTTCAGCCACCATAGATTCTGTCTCCGCTTCCACCTTTTTATCGGCCTGACGGTCAAGTTCACCGAGTAATCCACCGAGCAAGTCAGGCTCGTCATCAGTCATCAGGACGTCTTCCTTTGGAGGCGAAGCGGGCTTTGCCTCCTCGGGAGATGGTTTTGCAGATACCTGAATAGGCACTTGAACAGGCTCTTGAGCGTCCTTGGACTCGTCGACTGCTGCGAGTTCCGTGGGGACCTCCGAGGGTTCGGACATGACGAAACTGGCAGGGGCAGAATAGTCTGGCTTAACCTCATCCTCGGCCATGACGATATCTTCCGGCTCAAGAGCTGGCCCCCCTGGAATCGCTTCTTCTCCCAGTCGGACTTCCTCGACGGCGAATTCTGTGCTTTCCGCGACCGTGCTACCTGTGTCCTCGGCAGTAGGGGTGGTGGCGATATTGCCCACTTGCTCAGGCGGAGGAGGCAATAACGTGTCATCGTTAGGTGACTCCATCTTTGGCAGGGCGCTCTCGACAGCAGTCTCAGGCGCCGCTTCTGCGACAGTTGAAAGAGGCTCTGGCACGGCAGGCTCTGTGACCGTCTCCACTGGGGTAGCCTCAGGGGCTACAGCCTGCTCGACAATAGGTGCTGTGGTAGAAGTGATATCGAGCGAGACATTCGGCGGAAACTCCGTCGTGGGGGAGGGCATGATCACGTTCTTCAGTGGGCTTCCCTCCAGCCTTGACATGCTTGGCGTCAGGTTGAGAGGAGGAAGTGGAGGGGCTAGGCTGAGAGGGCTGGTAGGTAACGGTGACTCCGACGAAGCCTCGTTACCTCCCATTTCGACATCTGGAATATCAAGAGTAGGAGTTTCAACAGCTGGCACAAAATGAGCCACTTCGTGATCCTGAGCCTTATCGCCCTCACCATTCGCGCTTCCGTGCTGAGTGCTGTCGGCGGGTGTTTCGGCACCTTCGTCGCCATCGTCTCCTTCGTCGCCGTCGTCACCATCATCGTCGTCATCGTCATCGTCGTCGTCCGCATCGGCCATTTCGCTGTCGGGGTTGGCGCTATCTTCGGCTTCCTGCTTGATACCCTGGTGGTGGTTAGCGTATGCTTCATAGAACGAAAAGATTGATCTCACAGTCTCGCTAGTCGGCTCAGGCTTGACTGTAGTCGGTGCTACCGCAGCGCCATTCACTGGGGCTACAGGGACCGCTGGTTGTGCCGTAGCAGCGAGTGGAATTCGTCCCTTCTTCTTTCCTCGGCCAGGGCCAGCCTTGGACTTTCTCTTTGGTGGGGGAGGTCTTCTCCTGTTCGATTGAGGTACAGGAGCCGCAGGCTCGCCGTTCAGAACGGGCGCAACCTCGACCCTGGTGGCAATGATCTCTCCTACCACCTGTCGACCCTCTGCTAGAATCACTTCCTCAGTGTACGGGTTTCCAGTGGCGTCAACCCGTCTCACAGTCGCCTTCGTGATTGTCGCGCCCTGGGGTTTATCCTCGATCGTCTTGCTGGCAATGGTGACGGTGTTCTTTCTTCGCTTAGCCAAGTGCGAGACGGCAGGGGCCTCGACATTTCGGGGGATTTGCTTCCAGAGCTTGATGCTGTAGCCCTTGGCGCTGTCCTCGTCTTCCTTCTTTTCTAGCTTGTCGGGGATCGCGTCGGGATCGACCTCTTCCTCTTCGGTAGGCGCGGGACGTTTGTAGAGTCGGCCTGATCGTGCGGCGAGGAGCAGTTCCTGGCTATGCGTTGGCAGAAGATGCGAGTCCTTTGGCATGCCGTGAATGACGTCGACTGACCAGATGTCGTTCTGCTGCTGTGGTTCCTGTTGGGGCGGCGGCACAATGTTGACCCAATCGTGGCGCCATTGTCGTACTGGGAGACCTGATGATTGTCAGTAGCTGTCGCAATCCGCCAAATCACGCGGTCGTACCTTCGAAGTCATCGTGGTCGGCGTATCCGCTGCGATTCGCGCGTCGCGTCTGCGCATCCTAGTTAGTTGAAGCCGCAGGAATGAAGCCACCGTGGAGGCACCTACGCCTGGAGCCATCTTCGCCGACGTAAGAGCGCAGGCGTTTGCGCAAATGCGGTGATGGAATCAAGTTAAAAATGTGGCGTTGTGATTGGGTCGTGCTGTAGGTATTGTACAACGCGCCCGGGCAGTGGCCTGGTTTGTTTCGAAGGAGGCTGAGAGAGGCTGAGCTTTTGTCGCGACGAGCGTAGGGATTGGTGTTTAGATTTGGACCAATCGTGGGCGAGTTGTTGATGACATAAGCCCCACAGTTCC